TGGGATACCAGCAGTGACTTTATTTTATTTGAATATAGGGGCAAAATTAAATATGATATAAAACTCACACCCCTACTCTGAAATAAAGGGAGGGCCATTAAAAATATACATGTCTCCATTCTGAGGAGACAAGAGCATACAGAAAGTGCATGGTCTTACTGAAAAGATAAACAGCTGGATTTACTTGCTTCCATTAACCAATGACCCACTTGTCAAACATAAGCTGTAGATTTAAAAGAGTGATTATGTGAAGCCTCTTACATTACCCAAAAACGATCCTAGCTATGAAATCAGATCAAGCCTGAAAATACTTGAGCAAAGTCAATATTGTTCTTCTATACAGACACAAGACAAGAATTAGTTATTTGTTTAAAAACCTACAGCATGATGTAAGGGTAGTTTTCTGCAGTGCTGTTCAGATGGCATTTATCCCACACATCCCTCTCAGGTCATTAGGGTGTGCCAAATCCAGACCTTTTTGTAAGAGGATGAAGTTCTAAGGAAGCCACTGCATAAACCTGAAAGGGCACTGCCGGCTTTCTTCTATGAGGGAGACTTAAGACTGGTGCTCCCCACAGTAAGTGGTACCCACTACATGTACCTGGCCTGTCTGATCACTAACAGAGGATTTTTAACACGGGTGGCAGCTGTGCACACTTTGGTGGCAGATCTCCAGCTGAGGCTTTTAAGGCTCAAGCCATTGACTCTGCCCCTGTGCCTCTTTGCACCTCCCACCAAATGCCTGTTCCTGTGCCTGCTGCAGGCTCAGGTAGGAGCAGACATGCAAGATGCTACAGGTGATGACAACATTTGGATTTGAGTGCAGCAAATTACTAGGTCCTAAGTCTTGAAAACCTCTAATTTTGCCACCTTGTATTGTAACACAACAGCACTGTCCGCAACAGTGGCCTTCCCATATTTGACCTAGTGCTAAGCAAGTCTCTAAGAAGGTTGAAGAAGCCATTATTAGAAGGAACAATTTTACTGCAAGAACAACTTACGTATTCCTTCCACCTGACCTCATTATTGTGCTGTGCACTGCCAGTGACTCCCACTTTACTCTGACTCAGTACACAGGGTGATTTTCTGCAAGCTGCAGATCACAGAACAACTGAACTGTTTAAGAATCCAAGCAGTCAGCTAATGAAGACCAAAGTTTCCAGCTCCAGTGACTGCAGAGAAATATTAAAAAATGCTGATACTTGGAGCCTGTCCACCTCTGGATTTTACTCTGCTGCTGGAGGCCCTGAGCACCACAGCTCAGTATCCCAGTGCCTGCTGTGCAGATGCAGGCTCCAGCAGCAGCATGGGAGGAAAGACCATGGAAGGAAAGCTCCCCAGTACCTACCACACCACAGCACAGGGGCACATGCAAGATTGTATTTATAAAAATCTAGAAACTGCTTTGAAAAATTACACAGTTATTTTTATAGCATCTACATGCACTATAAATACTTGATATATCTGACAAGGATTAATATTTTCCAAGGCCTTAAATTTTATAGTTTCTCTTTCTGCTGGAGCAAAACTCAAATCATTACTTGAATCATCCTTTAATGAACATTCTCCAGCTTCTAAATGAAGCACCAATGATAGGCAAGATGCAGAAGGCAGTGAAGGATGACTAGAAATAAGGGGATCTCTTTTATATATATATATTATTTCATGTTCTCATGGCTTCAGCAGTCCTGGTATTAAGTGGCACCATTTTGTAACCTCTGAACAGCCACATTGTGTATAAAACAATAATACTAATAGAAGGCTTCTAACACTTTGAGTACAAAAGGTACTACTGGCAAAAAAACAATGCCTTTTCCTCATTATAGCAGAAAATGAGGTTTCTATTTAATAAAAACCCCAACCACAAGGCTATGTGCTTTTGTAACTGTAAATGTATGTCACGGCTGTTGACAGCTTCTGTGTTGGAAAGGATCTCATTAACTCTGAACAAAACCACACGTTATCTTTTTGAAAAGCAAAGTTACATTCCTGATGAATCATCAGCTGCTTTGCTGAGCTCCTGTGGGATAATTTTTGGTATCGGGTACTGGAAAAATAAATATCACCCCAAAGTTCAGAATATCTTCAGACAGCACCATAAAAGGCTATCCAAGCTACCCAAAACCTAAGTTAAGAAGGGAATCAGGCTGGTGAGTGCACAGCCATAAACAAACATTCCATTTGGTTAACTTTGCTCCCTCAGGTTCAGGCTGTAGAGCTCTGGCTTTCTCATGTTGGACCTATAAAGCATCTGTGTTCTGTGCAGGACTGACTCCTCAACAGATGTCCTCCACTGCATTTTGGGGGACTTTATGGTGTTCCCACAGAATGAACATGCTTTAAAAGCACTCTGCTCAGCCCAGAAGTTCACCTATTTCACACTTCCTCAGTCTTTTGACTGAAGTTGCAAGGCATCCCTTAGGAAATTCAGGTCTTCTTCAGTGGACATTGTGGAAACCAGCTGGGGGAAGCAAATAGCAGGGAACTGAGTGGGAAACAAAGTGCCCTCACCTAGAAATAGTGTTTATTCTGCACCACTGCTGGTGCTGGGAGGTAAGGAGAAAGGAGTGAGAGGAAGCAATTATTTAGTCTGCGTGGTTTGGATAAGTACATGCACCTTTACCATGAACAACCAGAGAATATTTATGTCTGCAGGAAAAAAAGAAAAAAGCTCATGCAAGCTTTTGTTCAGATCTCCCCTGAACACTTCATTAATTAGTAGCTCATCATACAAACGTATGTCATATAAATGTCTAGATATATATATGCATACACTTTAATTGTATTTTCTTTTCTCTTTCCCTATCTCAAAATAACTGAAACCTATCAAGCAATTCCTGAGCTAATGTTCCAGTAGAAACCAGCTTTGCTTTCTAATGTGAGGATGTATTGTAATTGCTTTGGTGATAATGCATCAATCAAGGAATTGCTACTGCCAAAAGAACGCTTATCTTCATGTCACACATGAGAGCACCTAATACAAGGACTGTAAAATTTGAATATTCAAGAATATCATGTCCATATAACTTAACTCCATGAAAAAATGCACACATTTGTCAGGCTCAAAACCTGAAACCTGACCAGAAGTTTTCCTGAGCAAAGGCTAGTACATATAGCATGTTACATGGATTTGGAATTGTAATAGCTTAGTTAATTCTGCAGCAATATAATGAATCTCTGGTATTAGAAGGCCGATAACTAGATCTTCATTTGGTTATATAATAGGCCATAAGGACTAAAGGATTTGAAAAGGAAAGGCTGAACAGTGAGCAGCAATCCATTGGGAATACACTGGAAAACTGCCTGTTGCTTCTCAGAAAGGGTTCCACAATGCAGGAAATCTGCACACGTCAGATAAGTTTCTGTTAGACAGGTAGGATGCAGACTGCTTTTATAAATGTCCACTTGGTGGTTGTGCACTATCTCCATGCTCGCAGTTTTCTTTGGATTTCCTGTTGTTTCCAAGTGCTTGTGACAGTGCCAGTATAACCACAGTGACGAAGCTTGATTTTAAGGAGCAGCCTCTACTCTGTGCCAGAGCAGACAGCAACAGATGAAAGCCTCTGTGGCTCAGCATATTCATTGTCCCACTGCACTTCCATCTGCAACACCTTCCTGGGAAGGGTTGTATCCATGGGGGAGAACATTACATTTTCCTAGTTCTGGCTCTGAGATGTCTCCTGTAGTCTAGATTTATTGTTTCATCCTTGAGGCATATGAGCCTCTTTTGACTAAATTATAGGCTGACTGTCCTGAGAATCTCCAAGTACACTTGAGCCCTGCATATCTGCTGCTGAAGTTAGTCTCACAATCTGATTAATTTGGACTATGTGGCTCCTTGTTTAACTGTCCCTCTCCTATTCACCTGTGCCTGTGCTGGTGAACAACTGCTGGTGGCAATGCTTGTATTTACCATAGAACTTATAATAAATAATTTCTCACACCTGTCAGGTATCTAGAGAAATCTTTCTGCAAACATATTTCTCTTTTATTTTTTTTTCAGGGCATTACATAACCTGGAGCAACCCCCCAGTTTCACAGTAAAGCAAGTCTTTTAACTTTTAGCTGTGAAGCACAAAGTATCACCGCAAACTGCGCTGCCTCCTATATCCAAAGTTAACATTTATTTACACACTGTAACAGCTTTGCAAGCATTAGCAAAAATGCAGTGGCATGTTTTGAAAATGAAAGTTCTTCATTACACAGCCTGAGCATCATTTCAGTGCCATGTATATGTTTATTACTAGCTAGGCATAAAGAAACCCCACACTCACTATTGCAAACCACTAATGCTGCAGCAGATACAGCAGAAATGCTACAAGGGCAGCAAATGATGGCAACTGCAGGAAGCACAGATCTGTTCAGGGCACGTCCCTTCTGAAGGCTTTCTAAACATTGCCACCTTGTGGGCCTCCTGTCTGATATCACTGGTCCTTCCACTGTCCCCAGGTGACTTCCTGAGCAGACTTCACAGATGCCAAGCTCGAGGCTGGATGGTTGAAGTTAAACTCCCATAGCTGAGGATTAAAAGGGGGACAGCACCTTACGAATTCTATGTGGCATTAATTACTAACTTCATACTTGTGCTTCACGCAATTTGCTCTTTTTCCACTTAACATTATGATGGCAGCGCTAATAAAGTACAGAAGAGCTAACATTTAACAAAACAAAAAACAAGGAAGGATACAAATTCTCAAATCTCCCAGGCAGAAGGGAGAAGTCAGATTCAATGTCCACCTCTATTTTTTTAAAAATTCCTTTCTGCCACTATCTTCTTACTCCATTTAAAAAAAAAACAACTTATATTTATTATAAAATTATTTATTATGTCTGTGGCCTCTCATTTAGCTTTCATTGGTTTTGTTTCATGACTATTACATAGTCAAAAATGATGGAAAGCAATATCACTTGTTATTGATACCAAACTTATCTAGCTACTGCCTTACAGACATCAAACACAAATTCTTGGGTAAAAAAACACAAATGAAAAACATACTTACTTTGAGCATCCAAACACTTTCCCTGGTTGCCGGTTTGAATTGTTCCTTGCAGCAATTTGGCACTGAAAAGAAAACATGAAACCTTTAGTTCAACTACCAAATATGAGGGGAAAAAAAAAAAAAAAGAGATTCACTGGATGGGTCTTTGTCTGCATTGGTTTAGCAGTGATGCAATAGTCGTATGCTGAAAATTGAAATGAGTAGAAATCCTTCATTACAATGCCCTAATTCAGCTGTGTTCACAATGGCTCAGTGTCTAACACATCTGCACAACAATCAGATGCCCCCCGATATAGTAGCAGGTCTATGAGCTCCCTTATGCAGTGCTGCTTTTGGAGTTTATTCATGATTTCCAGGCACACTGGTCTTTCTTCATCCAACCAGGCTTCTTCCAAGCACAGGCAATCAGTTATGACTGTTGTGTCATGCAACTGGAGCCTTGCTGCACTTGCCTGAACAGCTTTTCAGAGGGGGAAAAAAACCCCTGCCATTGAGAAGCACAGGAACTGTAATCCAGGAAAGCCTGTGTTTTTGCCAATACAGCACAAAAACGCTGGCAGTCCTTTGAAGTGTCTCACTTAACAATGAAATCATGGTGCTGCCCCCTTGTAGCAGCCACATTAAGGCCTATTCCCTTCTGTGTTCCTGCAGGGAACTGCCTACGAATGCTAAATTTGTCCTCTTATCCATTCTCTGTGGACTACAGAAACATAAGATGGAGCAACCATATATGGGTTTCAGTTTGTGCCCTGAATTACATACTATGGTTACGTGGCTAAGTCTCTTAATTCGACTCCTCAGTCAGCAGGAAATATCATTCCTAGCAGGTAAATAATGGTTCACAGTCAGACCAAGGCTCTGGTTATTGCTTGTTTTGCATTCCTAGTCAACTAGTTGAGACAGCCCAGCAGGGAGGAGTATTCCAAAGACATCCATCTCTGCATAATAGCATGAAACTACACCAAATAGGATCACAGGGGTACTTGGACTGCATCAGGGACCAAGGGATGTAAGAAGCTCACACAGGTCAATTTATATTCATCAAAACCCCTGTTTTAAGAGAAGGAAAACATTAAGCAATTCTCACTATAATTCACTATCATCTGGAAAAGGTAAACAGTCCTTTAAAGATGGCTTGTCTAAAGGACTGATCACAGCTCCAGGAGCTGTGACTCATCCTGGCAGAGAACTTAGGAAGGCTGCTAGCAAACTGGAAGGCTGAAGCTACCTTAAAGCCAAAACCAGAACGGGAATTAGCTATTAAACACGTTATTGTTTCATTTCTTTGAATCTCTCCAAGCCTCTTAAGCTTTGCTTTTCAATGTACTCTTTTTCCTCCATTTGTTTAATGTGGAAAGTGATTCCAGCACAGCTGACAAACCTCAAGCATCCTATTGGCAAAGGAACAGCAAATCCATCATGGTATATTGGCTTTTGACCAAGTAGTGCCCTTCTGAAGTTAAGCTGGGATCTGACTACTCCAACAAGAGTGTCCCATCCTTACAAGTTGAGACAATGATTAGAAGAAGACATCTCTCACCAGGAGGTGTTGACCAGAACTTCTAACAGGCAGCAGCAGTGGAGAGACAGTGATCCCGTTAGAAATATGACACTTAATATACTCATGGAATGTTTTCCATAAATGCTTTCTGAAGAGTGTGATATTTATGGCATATTGAAGACAGACGTAACTACTTAATTGTCTTCAGTATGTAGACCTCAGTTTGAGAGGGATTTGAGCAACACCTCCATGCTGAACTTCATTCATATAGTCTCAAATTAAAAAATCCTCATAGCACAGGTTCCTAAAACTTGGAAGCTGATTCTGCTGATGCTTGCACAGGTCAAGCCAAAGAGGTACATCTCGGCAACAGCTCCTGCCTTTTTGCCTGCAAACAGGTACTTACCTGAGCTGCAGGGAGCAGTGCAATCGCTGTGGGCAGATGAGATAATTGGCACTTGCTGCTGTGTGCAGCAGCACTGCCAGGTCTCCACCTGCTCCATAAGCCATGCCAACACCTCAACCCGTCCTTCTGGCTTGAGATGCCGCAGCAGCACCCAGGCAAGGGAGTGGTAGGAAACACCAGATCATTAGGGTGGAATTTGATTTAGGTGGACAAAGGAATGCAGCAGAGGTCGTAGTCAGTGGGTGTGAGGAAGGTAAGGATGGAGAGCTGGAGTCTCCACTGAAAGGGAGGCAGGATAAAGATGTGCAATGAAGACAAGGAGAAAAAGATGCCACGTCCTTTTACTTCATGGCAGGCCATGCACAGCTCTCAGCTGCAGACACTGGCACCACATCTCCACTCTACAAAAGCCAGCAAGCACAGTTCAATTCCTCAAAACTCCACAACACACACACACAGGCTGAACTGATTTTAAAGTTGGTTCCCATCTCCTAACAAGTCATCTATCAATACACCTAAAGAAATTCCTTCTTCCACATTTGAAAACATAGGGAAAAGGGGTAAAATAGAAGAGGATGAATAGTAGAGGATCAGGAAAATGAAAAAGACATTAAGATATAGAAAAAAAAAAAAAAAAAAAAAAAAAGAAGAGCAATTTAAATAGTAGTTTCAGAAAATCCTGTGTAGTAAAACAGATAAATACAATTATGCTTGCCTTTTTTTTTTTTTTTAGGACAAAAATTTATGATTTTCTCTATGTTGATGTAATTTAAATATTTGCAGCTATGTGTAAAGTTACCCATAGCTACAAGTTCCCTATGTTAGACTATCCATTTCCCTGATAAGCAAATTACACTGGGGGGGAAACAGACCAATGTTTATAATAAAATGCTTATGAGTTTAGATGCTATTAATAGAATTGAGTAGCTTTTATTAGTAGCCAATGACTGTTCACATAGTGTATTCACTTCTCCCCACCCCACAACCCCCTGTTTCATCCCGCTACAGCTACAGTCAAAAAGTGAAACCCAGGTAGAGGGGATCTGACTAGTGGGAGACTCGAGAGAGTCCCTCAGAGGACCTTTCCCTTCCTTCATCAGCTGTGTACATGGCTCTGTAGCCTACATTTGCCACTTTTTCAGATGCTGCTGCGTTACATATCCTGATTGATACTAGTGAGTGCCAGCAGAGGCCTCAAGCAGGTTTGGCAAACTTTTACAGTTCAGAGTTCATGGGATCTTGGGGTGTCCAGTGGATTCAGCAGGACTGCTGCTCTCCAGGGCTTACCTGGTCCCAGGAGGATTTCACTTGCTCCTTCTCAGCATATTGTTTTTCTCCGTGTGTACACTAGCTATTCCTGCATCCACAGTGCTGAACCTACCGACACAAACTGATGCAGAAGAGGCTTCTATCATAATACCCCTTGAAATGCTGTAAAGCATTGAATTTAATTTGAATGAATATTGACCAAAAAGAAAACCCCAAATCAAAACAAAAAAACACCCCAAAGTAAACAAGAATTGGGAAGGAGGGATATGAGAAAGAAAGTAGAAAGCAAAGCAACTAAATGGAAGAAGAAAGTACATCAGAGACTGTAGTAAACAAGGAACAACAGCATCCACAAGCGCCTCCTACAATTGTACTA